GCAATAAATCCAACAATAGATTTCTGGATTCATTTTTTAATTGTAGTTAAAGGCATCCCTTTTTATGGCACATGTAAAGGATTGCCTAAAAAATCTCAGGCAGTGGCTAAAAAAATACGACTGAAATGTAATACAGACAAGTACACCATGAAGACAGAGTGAGTGTCTGTGTCAGCAATTCAAGGGGTTTCAGGAGCCCTCATGTGCCAGTTAAAGCACAAATAATTCAGCTAAACTAGTTCCATGATTTAAATCGTATTGACAGAAAATAAATTCTCTCATGTAGTGGAAAGGATTTGCTTGTTACTGGGATTTCATAAAGATAGGTTTTCATATTCCCTCTATAGAGTTTGTCAGATGAAACACTCATACCCTGGGTTGTCTAGTGGTGTGTTTAAATCAATGAATGCTGAGTGGAGGAATTGCCTTAGAGGACATGAATGCTGTCTCTTGACAAAGTCTGACTTGATGAATTTGTTTTGCAATTTACTGACACTAATTTCCCAGGACATTTTTCAGTGGTGTTATTTGACATTACGGGACATCCAAAACCCTGCAATTTTGCCATATTATTGCTACTTGCAGCTCACTTTAAACCTTTTTTTGAATGTTGTTAGTTCTGTGTCTCACTGTTTTCTGTTTTTTTACTTATATAGAAATTGTACCACTGCATACGTGCAAACCAGATCTTCATTTTAGTGATGTCTCCAATCCTGTTTCAGTAAATGCTGAAATTTACTTCAGGTCAAATTTACTCGTATATCACGTGCGGGAAAAGCGTTTAGGGGCACTTCTGGAACCGAAGGCTTGTGTTCCCAGCGTGCGCTGAAAGGAAAGGGGTCTCCTGTGGTAAGTGAGGGCGCGCGGCCGGCGTGTTGAGGCTGCAGGAGGACGGGGAACACGGGCACTCGCTGTCGTCACGCGTGTCGCAGGCCCGGCGGCTCCAGGGAAAAGGAGCTGACATGGCTCCGGCACCATTTCCGCATGGGAAGAGACATCCCATTAATTACTGTGGTTCAAGCCCAGCTGGGGCCGTCAGCCAGGATCCCATCTTCAGAGCTAACCTTGCAGAAAACAGCCCTCTGAGCAAGGACTGACGAGCCTGTGGGGACTGAGGGACGCCGGGGCAAGATGTTTGAAACTGAGAATTCTTTCCAACCTTTTTAATCTTCAGGGCTGCAAGCTCCTGTTTAACCTCAAGTTTGCTTTTTTTTACCTTTTTGAAATGACCATTTATAGAACAGTCATCAAAATACATATTACATTACTCATGGAGGTGTGTAAGTAATGTATAAGAACGTTTATACATCACTGATGTAAGTACTTTAATAAGTTTAAATAATAAGTTTGATACCTAATGGACATAACAGAGCAGTTGCCTCGTAGATAAGATATTCTGATTGAATGGAAAGGAAATTTGTAAAGAACATATCAACCCAAATCTAAAATTTAATTCCTGATTCAATTATGAATGCACATGAGGACTGAGAAATTCAGTATTAAATTGCCTAGAAACAATAAATTAAGACTGGAAGAAGGACACCCAAAATTGTGTTTCCGATATTGTGAATGTGGGTTTACCTTTTTTTTTTTAAATCAAGGCAAGGTTTAATTAAGACATCTACAGATTTGTAAAACTGTATTGCTTTACCCTAAAACTAATCTATATCAGACATTTTCCCTGAAGAAGAAATGCACTGAAGTAGGAAGATACAGAATTCTCCATCACTGTAAGCACAAGAATACCATTAACGTAACTGTGCAGCTTTGCCAAGAAAGAGTATCATGTTTAATTGAAAAGCTAAAACTTTCAAAAAGCCCACAGAATTCCAGATAAATAGTAAGTTTTAAAAAAATGTTATGTTCCATGCATGCATAATTCATGACAACATGCTTGTATTGTATGTACACTTCTATTTACGGTTTGTTTTTTCCAAGCTCAAAAGAGAAACCAACAATGTTTTATGTGTGAAAACTTTCCTGCCCTGTGTCTTAGGTGTTTACAGTACAGCAGCGTTACACTGTATTGTACAAGAAATAACTATGAAAATCATACCTGAAGTGAAAACAAAAAAAATTAAATCCAATTAAAAAATGTTTGTGTTATGTAGTGACCTTTCCAAGAAAATGAATAATATAAAACAACCTCAATCTCTTATGCTGACCATATAATCAAGATATATAAATAACTAACACGTGTATATTATCTTTAACGTAATAACCTTTTTCCAATATTTGCTATTTGTAGGCTTTCCAGTGACATTTTGCTATAAAGCTGTTTTATTTAAAAAGCCAAACATTTTCACATTATTAAACTTGCATGAACATCAGTACCTTCAACCTTTGATTTTCAGTGCTTGGGCCAGTTTGCTCATTCTCCCAGTGTCCAGAGTTTCCTCTAGGGCTTCACATTCAGTCCACAACCCAAAGACGTGCTGGTTGACTGGGAACTGTAATTTGCCCCTCTGTGCTTGTGTGTATGTGCGCCCAGGGATGGACTGGCTAAGATCACTCCTCTTTATCTCCCTTCAGTAAAACCCCATCGAGCTTATCTTCGTCCAAATGTATTTTTCATATTGGTGCCTTCCATAATCCACAGAATCCTTCTCTTCAGAATCGCCAATTATTTCCCAATTATACACCCACCCAATTTAGACCCGCTAATTGTCTCTTTACCTTTTGGCTGACAGTGATCACAACTATGCCCAGACAGGGGAATACAACACAGTAACGCTCCTCCAACCTGCCAGCTCATTGAGCCACATCCTCTCACACACCCAGACGTGTACAGGAGCTTCTGAGCCTCTCGGATGTCATCCTGAAGCCTAAGCGCACTGGGGGACGTTGCAATGATTTCGGCAACCAGACACAGCCCAGCTCTAACTGACCGATCCCAGCCTGACAGCAGTCTGGGGAATCGAGCCAGGCGCGAACTTGCCAGCCTGCTCGGAGAGACCTGGAACACGCCTCTGGTTGAGCCTCTTGGAAGTACAGCCATCTCTGCTCTAACGCAATAGCTGTGCTTCTGAAAAAACACATTATAGAAAATTGTTGTAATGTAGAAACCAGCAGTTAAATGGGAATTAAGGGCTAGGAGGTATATAGTTTGGATTCACACAGAAGCATTTTTCTAATTAGTCATATGATTAGTTGGAATATATTACTTCTGTGTGTGGTGTTTTGGCAATAATGATTAACAGAAAACAGTGAAATAACAGATAAAACAAGACATCATATGCATCTTCACCAAGTAATGAGAAATTCTGCTGCTCCCGAGTAACTCAACTGAAGTCCAGTACAAGTTCTTCACAGTCCAGGGAATCAAAACAATCCATCACGCTTTGAAATGGACGCCAGCACAGCATTATTACTCCACGTATGGAGAACTGTAGGCATCTTCTTGTACTTATTCACAAAGAATAACCCACATTAATACAGTATCTACTGCTAAACTGCATATCGTCTTGGAAGGCATTTAATGCACTGAAAATGAAGCAAGGCACATGAAAACAAGACTTGAGAAAACCCTCAGAATTAGGTCATCCTGCAGTAAATGTAAACCACATAAAGCTTCAAGAATTTCATCATCTGCACTGTAATGTAGGGCATATTAAATCTTTGCCATTTTCCAAATTAGAAATGCACGCATTATGATAGCACTCCTCTGAGCTTGGTTTGGGGAATTACAAATGAATGTAATTTTAAGTAGCTATAATGATTGTATCACAAAAACCTAATGTGTGCATGGAGATTCCAATGAATAACTCAATTCAAAAATAATAAAAAAAGATAAAATCTCTCTTGTAAGGATGCGAACTATGGGAATTAAATATTCTGATTTCAAAATAAGGCTGCACTTACATGCAGAACGATACTTCAGCAAGTATCTGATGTTTATTTAGCCTCCTTCTCCTTGTACTGCAAACACTATGTGAGCGTTCACACTGGTACTAAAGAAAATACATTTGCAACTGTTTGCATAAGGTCTCCTTGCAGATCATATTACTTAACCTGTAATTAAGGGCAAATGTCTTTTGAGCCCTGTTCTTCCAGACTAAAACTGTTTCCAATCCGTTTGATTAATGAAGAAAAAACCTCCATCGGCCTTCAATTCATAGGTAAACATTAAAATTCAACATTACTCAGACTGAAGACAATCTTACAGGACGCACAGAAATGACTCGATACACCTCATAGAGCATGCCAGTACACGTCGACACTTACGATGAACAGGTGCAGAATCCACCAATCTTTCAACTGACAAAAATACCAGTACTACCTGCCACAGACATTTTAAAACGTTAAAAAATCCTGTACGTCACGGATGTTTTGAGGACTACAGCCCCTGTAACAGCAATGCGGTGGTTCGTTTCCATGTTGAGCTCCCTCTATCATCCACATACTCCCTCTGGACACACCCTCCTGTAACTGTGACATATCAGAGCTCAGTAAAACTGTGGTGGGGGTTCGTACAATTGCTGGTTGTTTTAAGCCAACATTCACTGGTGAAAAGATTCTAACAACATACATTATTGTTGTTTACAAGCATTTAAATTCTGGTTCCCACACTTCCATGTGTGACATCTTATTGTACATTAGGAAGCGTGACAGGAGTTCCTGCTCTAGTGATATGTCAGCAGCTTCCTTTACTGGTCAGCTTTACTGGTCTGCGTATGTATTTGAGAGGCAAAACAAACATTCAGTTTCCTTTAGCACCCAGAACAGCGATAGAAACAAAAAAGTATCAGTCACAATTAAGCATTTTTCTGATTACTTTTCTTTTTCTTACTCCATGGAGACAAATGTGAGTTATGAAACTCTTACTGACCTTTCTGTTCCATTCCTGCCTCCTCTTCTCTTTTCAGGAAACGCTACTCTGACGATACTGTGACAGAAAGGGATCTCCAGTGACTTCGTGTCCATCTTCAAGCACTAATGAGATTTAACTGTTCCAAATCTTTAAGCATAACCTTTTAAGAACAAGAAACTTTCTTTAGATCTATTTTCGTAATACAACCTTTAATTAAAAAAAAATCACATTTCTTTAGAAGACCACAATCAAGAACCTAGTGCAAATAAGATTAAACAATGACAACAGCTTAGAGAGGGTAAAGACACAAAGAGCAATTTGAGTTAAAAACACAGAGGTGATGTTTGAACAGTATAATCAACAGTAGTTTTAATACACACTTTGGTTTTCCATCATGGTTTTGGCTATGTCTTTTGAAGTACTATAAAATGTTACATATGTACCTGTCTGAAGGAATGAAGGAAATATGATTAACAAAACTATGATACAGCAGTTTCTAAAAATTACTGGTTCCAAAGCTTAGTATACACTTGCACGGTGATCATTAATGGAAATTTCATACTATAATACAGATATAATAAATCACACAACACAGAAAATATGTTGTACTTTGACCACATTAAAACTGATTTACAGGAAAATGCATTACATTGACACAATGCACCTTTAAAAAATAACTTATTTAGTATCTAGAACAGTTAGTAATTAAACTAAACATTATGGAGTCATATACACATACATTTTTAATAAATTAATTCCTTGTAAAATATTTAATATTAATTAAGGAGAACCTTAGAATTGTTAGCACTTTTAAAAGAGTCTACTGCAATGAACGGTGTCTTCAAGTGTAGCATCTACTATATATTCAGCATGAACTTAACTATATACTTTTCTCTTCCCTTTAAATTGTTCCTCCTCATTTTGGTTTCATTCCACTGAACCAAGCCCTAGAAAATAGAACTGAATTACACAGCATTTTGGGCATAAAAATGTCACTATCACAACAACAAGAAATTATTTCTTGGGAACAAGGAAACATGTTTTGAGCCAGCTAAACCAGGACAACAAAATCAGATGGCAGCATCTCCAACTTCATAATGGGCCGTTTTCTGCCGGCATCGCTGATTGTCAGGAAGAGGCGGGCACTTTCCTCTCGTCAACCTCTGTAAACTCACATCAGGTTCTACATGCCAAGACATCTGCAAACGGGCCTAAAAGAGTTTTGTTGAAAATGCAGCGTATCCACACTAAATATGTGGTAAAAGGCTTTATGTTCTCGGAAAAGGTATAATTCTGGTGTGGAAGAATGTAAGGCATATACGTGTTTTCCCCTTGCTCCTGTATCCACACTTCGTATTGGACCTCCCTGACCTTCAGGTATTTGAGATTCCAGGGAATCTGCCAGGACACCGTCAGCTTGGCCTCGTTGGATCCTTGAACAGATGCCTGACACCGGGGTTCCCTCACTCTACCAGGATGAACAGTGCTGGCTGGCTTCGCTTTCTTCAGAGCAGGTTTAGACTTGACGGTCTGCCTTAGGACTTCCAGGAGCGAAGGGATGTCCACCTTCGTGTCCTGGTATATTCGGAACAGCCACTCCGGGTTGCGGCAGCACAGGTGGCGAGGCACTTCCTTGCTTTTCAGGATGCGCTCCTGCTCTTCTTGTTCCAGGTGAGCTATGCCACCTTGGTCCCACGGCCTGTCTGGAAAAGCAACTGAATTCTCTTCTTTGGTGTTCTGCCAGGCCACATACTGAAGATCCATGCCTGGCAAGGATGCTAGAGTTTTATAGGGCGTGTAGTGCTCTGGGTTCACAGCGTAAGGGAAGAGCTCGACCACTACAGCGCCGCGGGGCAGAAAGAGCGAGGTCACTAGTTGGGCACCATGAATACTGATAAGCATGGATGCTCGACTAATTATCTGCACTATATCTGCAAAGGAGTGCTCGTCTAAAGACACTACGATCGTCTTCATTTGAAACTCCTGGGCAAAAGTTAAAATGAGTTCTGCCTCATTAATGATAAGTCTATTGATGGTACGGCTAAACACCACAATGTACTCCTCATTTTCAGAGACTTCTTCCCTAGTAATGTTGAGTTTATCCATAAAAAACCTGGTGAACTGTCGGATCTCTGTTCCTGACACTAATATATTTGCTTTGGGGCCCTGAGGTTGAACAAAGCCATACTGGTACCAGGTGGTTATTTTTGACAATCCTACATAGGACTTAGTGAAGCACAGGAGTTTGCCGAAGTTCTTCAGTTGCTCCTTCAGAAGAGGCTGCTTATTGCTCAGCAGCCGGTACAGGTCAAAATGCGTTCCTTCATTCCAGCCCTCCATGAAAACTAAACGGGCTTCATCGTCCAGATCGGAGTACTGACTCATGGTGTAGAAGATGGGAAGCAGGTCGTCATGGAAGATGTGCATCAAGTTGTCCGGGTTGAAGCGGTTCAGGATTAGCGCCACGTCAGGAACAAACACCGGCTTGGGCATGAACTTGAGGGCAGCTGCTGGCAGCTCAAGGAAGTTAAAATACTGGGTGTTGTGATCTTCCACAGAAGAGAGGTCCAGGAGGGCAGGCTGGAACCTCCTTGAGCCCAGGTTTGGAAGCATAACGGAGGCGTTACTGTGGAAGAAGACGAACTCCTCCGCCTCCGTGGAGTAGCAGAGGTAGTCGAAGCGGCACAGACGGTCGGTGTGCATCTTGCCCGAGCACACCATGCGGGTGCCGTCCTCCTGCAGGGCCCGCAGCGCCGCGTGGTAGTCGATCCGGGCCTGGGAGAGCTCCTGGGACTGGCGGCTCAGCTGCAGCTCCTCCTCCACCACGGCCGCGTGCTCTCGCAGCCTGGCGTACTTCCACAGCACCGCCGCCAGAACCGACACCAGCAGCCCGTTCAGCACCGCCGCCACGTTCATCCTGCAGCCCGGCCCGCGCATCACAGCCAGCTGGCGGACAGCTCCAGGGGCGGCACGCTCATCCTTTCAGCCGATCGCCAGGCCTGTCGCACAGAACGGAGAACAGATTTAGAAAGACACCCCGAGCGGCTGAAACTCTTTGAGAGACCGATTCAGCAGGCATCTCCTTGAGAAGAACAATTAACCAAAGAAACAGAACACGATTGTTGACCGTCGATAAATAAAGGGGTTACTGGAGTTTTTCCCTGCTTCACACGACTGTCCACTCATTTTTCCCCCCTTAATCTTCAACCTGGTGCAAAGTATGAACTGCAGACGTGCAGCTGGGATCGCTTCCAGTGGCAGCCACAGACAGCACTAGCTCGTGACTACAGGGGCTCTGTTCATCAACCCCAGCCGAGCTGGAAACAAACATTTCTGAGCTTCGTGTGTTCATCTACCTTATGTCTGTGCAACAAAATGTTTCTAGAAAAAAAAAAAAGATTCTCATTTTTTGGACAACCTTGTGAATTTATTAGTGATGTTTCTTTTGGTGCTCTATATGTGAAGGACGCAACACTGCAAATAACTATAACAACAATCACAAAAAAAGAAAAGGAAAAGGTGAAAAAGTATCTGTTAAAATACATTCAACAAAGGGTGTAAAGGTGTTAGATCCTTGGTAATGAAAAGGTGGCAGAATGGCCTGCGTCTTGGCCACATCTTCTACGTTAAAAGGCACCTTTGAACAAATCTACACTCTGAGCAGCCTCTCATTTTAGCAATGACTTAATTAATCATCTTAATTTCCTGAACAAGCAAAGGGGTTTCCAACAGTAACAGAATCAGCATGCCATCTAAGTTGTTGCAAATGCCTTTCTAAGATGTCACGGATAATTAACGCACAAATGAATGCTGAAACTGTTTGGAGATAGCAGATAAATTGAATCTACAGAACACAACGCATGGAAGACAATATTATTTATCAAAGGCAAGAACCAACCCAGCTTGTTATTCAGCACGATCTGATTCACATTAATCAGAATCTTTAAAAATGCAATCGCCACTCTGATGTTTTGGAGCCACATTCAGGGCCAGCGTGGTAAAGGCCTGGGAATCCCCAAGCTGAGCCAGAATACAAATTCAAATCCAATGAGCTTGAGGTGGAATGAGATGCACTGCGTAGGAAAGTGTTGTGTGGTCCGCCCTGCTCTGCAGGGAATCCTAACGCTACCGAGTACAAACCTCTCTGTGGAAATGCAGACTTTATATATGGTCAGAGTACATAGGAGAGTGCTTTCTTTGAAAAACAAAAAAATATTAACAGGTTCATCAACTAAAAAACAACAACTTTTTTTGTTCTTTAAATTGATCATATGGGTGTGAAAAACAAGCATAATGGTTTGCGTCTGTGCACGTAGTCCTGGGGAAAATGAGATACGTTGGAAAAAAATATTTTGTTTTAGTATATTGTACTATCTGTTTGCATGCTTTCTTTGAAATTGCATCTCTCTAAAACCAATCTGAGAGATTAATTTCAGTTGTAAGACTGATGCAACTCTTTCAGATACAAAGGTTTGAGACATCTCCTCTGTGACACTGGGAATATTTCCGACATTCATATTCTACTCAGGGGGAAAAAACTGATTTGTGAGAAAGGGGTACTGCTTATATTTCAATATATTGTATAAAAGCACACCTTCTCTGAATTATTTTATTTAGCAAACCTTATTGATCCAAATATATCATTACTATTTACAGGACTATTTAGGACCCATACTGAGTCTTATTTAAATCTTGAAATCTTCATTTCTCTGCCAATCAGAGAGTTTTGTCTGGAGAAAAACACACAATATCACAACCTATTAGAATGTCCACAATGATACCAAACTTACCCAGACTAACAAAGCATAAACAAATTTAAGTGCCAAAACCGCAAAAGCATTAAAATGAGGAAAACGGTCTTCAGACTTTAACATGGCAAGCAAGAGGTGCCGTCAGTTTACAGAGGGAACACTGCAAAATGAAGTCTACTTCTGGAAACACATTTTTAAAAAAAGCAATTTTAAGGTGAAATGAAAAACGCACACACCCATAGCCACACGTGCGACGAACTACAAATAAAAATACTCACCAGAGCAGCATGTTAATCAAGAGCATCTGCCCATTTGTGTGCAGCCTGCAAGCTCCCGGAGCCTGTCCACACACAGCGCATCTACTGCAGGCTGTGCTGCACAGCTCCGAGCGGCTGGGCTCCAGTCCAGCCCTCTGCACAGCTGGACCAGACGGATTCGGTTCCGCTAAACCCAAGGTGAGTGAAGGAGAGCGCTCAGGCACAGCCTGCACTGCCAGATCCTTCTCCAAGCCTCTCCTGCTCTGCCTCCCCCTCCCCCTCCCCCTGCAGCGCTCAGATCGTGCTCGCTGGTCACGGCAGTCCTGGCGCCCCGGCTGCCTCGTCTCAGTCCGCCAGCTTACTTGTGGGCCGACCGGCCACAGTGCCCTCTCGCTGCAGCCGCCACCCAACGGGAGCCGGCAGGTTACAGCCCACACGACGGCGTCCGTCTCTCTCCCGGCTCTGCGAGAGGAGCCGCTAGGTCCACCCGAGAGCCTGGCAGCAGGGCTGCTGAACCCTGTGACTTGGCAACATACGTTCAGAACGGGGTCTTTGAACGGCAAAAAGCAGCCTCTTTAATTTAATTTATTTTTAATTTCGCAATGTAATTTTATGCGAAAATGTTAAATATTCAAAGCCCAATTCCTTTTTCATGTGGAGAGGCATGGAAATCTGTTACAGTAAACAAGGATAAAACCACTCAGCAGCTGTGTCACAATAAACAAAGAACATTAGCTAGTGATTAAATATCGCATCGGAACAGCTCGGTTCTTAAGTACCTTTAATTAATCACTCTGACTGACAGCACACGTGGCACAATCACAGTATATTTTATATTTAAGTTCACCGTTTGAATGCTTTAGAAGCGAGCTCATTAGCATTTAGATTAACACCTTTATCACATGTGAACAGATGTAGGGCGCAAAAAAACTAAGAAAAACACTATAGCTTTTTGGTTGATTAATACTTTAAGGTTAGCTTCATTTGTTTGAGTTTATATATTTTTTTAAAAAGCACTTCATTGGGAAAACTGATTTATTGAAACATTAAGACGGATAAATCTGCACACAGGAAAGTGAAACAATTCTTCCCTTCCAGAATGAACTATAAAGCTCTAGCTGCTGCGACTCTGTTAATTCTCTGCGCTCCAGTGACCCAAACTACAACCCTGGCAGGGGTCTAAGAATCCATCACAGATCCAGATTTCTTGACAGTAATTTTACCCCTCAGAAGCCTCTTTAAGAAGAAAGGCAGCTACAGTGCAGATTTTCATTACGGGACACGACTGGTATTATTTTATCATTTTATTTTGTAAATTAAAGATTTTTTCTCTATATGTCACCTAGTTGACATCTCAGCTCCTTTCAACAACATATTACCTTATTTTTTTTAAAACCGATTCAGGTAAAGTGGTTAGAAAATGCACAGAGTAAACTCCGATGTACCGAGATTATAGCAGATTATGATCTAAAACCTCTGTTTCATGATCATCTTCATGACCTTCTGAACAGCATTCAATATTCTAGAAGAGTCACAACAGCAATGATACAAAAACGTCTTTTGAAGTTTTAAGCCCAGTATTGCCTGACCTTCTTTTCTACCATGCAATAATTAACTGGAATACAATCGTATGTTCTTGAATAAATCAACATCACTACACAAATGTACAAAAATATTGACTCAAGGAGAATATGTGGAACTTTCAGTCTCTTCCTAATAATTTGTGCAAAAAGATGTTACACGTGAACCCAGTTCACAAAGAAATATGTCCATCATGCCATGTAATATATTCTGCACCACTGGAATTAGCGGTGGTTAAATTTATACTTTAGAAAGAGTGAATTCAGTCTGAGTGGGTCATTCCTGACAGATCTCTTATACCCCCATGCCTTTAATGGCAGCACAGATTGCTAAACAGATGACAAATCATAAAAAAATGAAGGGAGATGTGTGGATTCCTCTGCTAAATCAAATGTCCTTTGATAAGCAACTGCTTCTGGGGCAGGTATTGCTAACCAAGTCATCACAAACTTGCTAACAAAAGTGAAGAACAGCCCATATCCTGTGATGAGATCTGCTACAGCCTGAGGGGATTGGAGACATCAGTTCCTTGATGTTTCCTGAGGCAAAGTCCTAGCTTATGGAAGAGAGCTGCTGTAGTATCATTAAAGACATGGTTGAGGAGGTACTTGAACAATGCTAGTCACTAGAAGGTGTGCCTGCACCTAAGATCCATGTAAAACATTCATCACGGCATTAAACAAGACAAACATGCTTTTCCAAACCAGATGTATCCTAGAGTGAAAAATGTTTTATCTCATAAATAGTATATCATTGTAAGAATTCTGTGATGAGCAAAGAAGATATTGTAAGTGTCACACCCAGGCTGGGAGTGGCTCACTGACTGCAGTACGGATGTACACAAACGTAACAGGAAAGGTCACTACCATAACTGTACATCACACTGACACACAGGGTTACAGAATTTGCGGGATCTACCTAAAGAAGTATAATACTCCTTTAAGAATCGACTACAAATGTATAGTATGTTGAGGTTTTACTAATGTCTTTTGTCGTTTAAGAATTGCCCAACAGTGTAGAAACTGTCTCTAAATCTTACCTTGTGTTTCTCCAAAATAAAATGCAGCTTTTTTTCCCCCCTAAGAGAAACGGAAAACAATGTAAATATTCCATTTTTTTTAAGTATTGTAATTGAAAAGGCTGATTTTGAACCATATTACGTAACAGAGGAATTATTTACACACTGAAGGAACAAATAAAGGTTAACCCCTCTGTGAAACGCAGAAAGAAACTGTTGAGCCTTTTTCAGGTGTCAAAAGCCGAAAAGTAATTTTCCTAACTTTTACTGTGGAATTAACCTACAATCCTCTTCTGCAGGTAGTGCACACTGATGCAGCCAGGCACACACACACTTAAACAAGTATCACAAGTATTAAGAAGCTCTTCTCCAACTCTTCCAAATTTTTAAGT